AAAGGAGTCGTAAAGGCAATTAAAAATAGTAGTCTGGTGCTGGTTGGGTTTGTTGCCTCTTCTCCAAGAGTCGTCTCTTCTCCTTCCTTGCTGAAGGAAGCTTTCCCAGATGTAGGGCGTTTGGATTTTCTCGTGGGTGGTTGAGGAGCTGGAGCCGGCCAACCTTGGCCAACACCAGTGCCTGTCAACACGAGCCCGAGGGTGAGCGGGCACAGCCGGAGCCTCGTCCTCCGGCCGAAACATCCTCCGTGGCGTGAGCGTGACCCCGGAGAGCCCCTGAACCACCTAAGAACCCTTTGACCCAGCAGACAGCGCGGAGACGAGAACCAGACCCACCCCTGCCCAGCGACGCCGAGCTGCGCATTAACTCTGCCCGAGCCGGGAACAAAGGTTTAGGGGCTGCTTTTGGCTTTTTTGAATTTATTTGCAAAGCAAAACAGCTTAGCTGAGCAGAGCGAGCGTTGGTAGAGCAGCGTGAGCTGCCGGGAGGTTGCTGTGCTGCGAAATCCCATCCCCACCGGCGCTCGCAGGGGGCTCTGCCGGCTCCCCCAGCTCTTGTAGCGTTTCCACGTTGGCCGGGAGAGTTGCTGAACATGCGTGTTGGTCTCTGGAGGCTTTAATCAAATCCAGGCTTTACCAGAAATCGCCTCCAAACTTCCAGCGAGCCGAGGAAACCGAAAGCAGCTGGAGCGAGGAGGCTCTCGGGAGGGTGTTCGGCGGAGATGCTGCCTTCGGCGAGGGGCGGGCCGGAGGGTGAGGCCGCTCCCCGCGCAGCGGCTGGGGAACGCGCGACGTGAGCGTGAGCAGCGCGTGTGAGATGGGAGGGCGGAGGAGAACCCGGGGGGTCAGCAAAAAAGGGGTGTCAGTGGGGAAGGGAGACGCAGGAGCGAGGATGCTGCGGGGAGGAGGAGTGGGACGTTCGGAGGATGCTCTGCTTTTCGGAGCGTCGCTCCCCGGCACGTTTGGGTTCGGGTCCCGCGGTTTCCCCACCGACTTCTCACCCCGTGTGAAGGCTGGGAGCCGTGGGATGAACTGTGTTGAGAAATCCCTGCTCCAGGGGGGAGTTCTGTTCTCCTTGGGTAATTTTATTTGGGATTCAGACTGCAGGTACTTCCCTTGCTTGCTGTGCAGCGTAATTGCACGCTGCGTCCAGCCCTCTCCCGTGGGCAGAAGGGAAGCAAGGCGTATTTTTTAACTTCCTTTTCGAAGCTGGGGGTGGGTAAGGTTTATGCCTGGCCAGAGATCATTCAAGGGTGAATGGCTCAGAGAACGATTGCAATAGGAAGGAATAATAAGAAGAAATAATAAATACGTGCTTTCTAGTTAAGGGTTTGAGCATCATCGCGGCGTTACAGCAGCGAGGGGGATTTTACGGCTGGTTTTCTGCCTGAACTCCTGAAAAACACCTTGCTGAGGTTATCGTGAAATATTACTGTCCTGTGCGGCGAATCATAAAGCTAAAATCATGGGGGAGATCACAGGCGGAAGTCGTTATCTCAGTCAGCTGCTCGTGGTTTAATTGGGTCTCTCCGAGGGGAGGGAGGTTTTGGTCACGCGTCCGAGACGCGGAACGTCGGCAGCCAAAGCCGTTGCATCTTCCTCTTTGCTTTTGGGGCTTCGGGGTTTTGCC